CTGTGATACAAATGCAGCAAAGGCCTCAGGCAACCCCACAGGGGTTGTGATGGCCCTCAGAAGCTGTGGTGGCCCTTCAGAGATGTCCCAGATTGAAGCAAGGGGCCTGGCCTGTGTACTTCCAGTGGACCACTGATCGGATGTGGGCTGCTCCGTGGAGGATCTAAGCTTGGCAAAGCACCTGTCTTTGGCTGAAGGCAGTTCCTGAGGAGGGATTAAGCTGTGAGCCTTCATCAGACATCTCCAGCACAGCGGAGTACTCCAGTGGAAGAGTGCTCCATTCCTGAGATGGAGGGCTGCTTCCCACAGCTTCCATTGCATTATCCTTGAGTAAAACTAATTCCACAAAATTGTGTCATATTTATCCATTGTTTTAAACACTCTCTGACATATCCCTGTACAGCTTGAATAGGTACCCCAGCTTAAGAGCCACAGCAGAGACACTGGGAGCCCATGATAGAGAGATGAGAAGATAGAACAAAGGAGGAGGAAACTGGAGCAGAAGGACCCAGTCATAGACCTGCTGTAATCATCTTTGTGGTAGTAGCAGTAAGAATCAAGAAAAAGATAAGCATTTTCATTTTGCCAGAGACCTCTCATCTCTGTAACTACTGTCAGTTTCCTTTGTCTTACTTTGATCATAAAAGGACTTGGAAACCATTGGAATGTCTAACAATATAGGCTTATAAAGAAGTTTCTTCATCATATTTCCACTTCTTTCATTCAGAAGGTTTCTAGGTCACTGGGTGAACAGTGTAGTAGGATCGGCCTTAAGGTGACAGGGGAGAATATGGCAGAGAGAACTTGGTTCCAGATGGGCAGGAGTACTCCCACACTGCACTTTCAGTTATGTGTGAGGAAAGGAGCATGGTTAGAACATTGGTCCATTTACACACACTCGGTTTCTCAGGCAGTAAGGTTTCAAACCAGTTTATTTTGATGTTGGTTGACTCTTGTTGACATGTTTGATACTATAATTGCTTCATTTCTTCTGCATAGTATTAGGAATGCATTTCTCTTCTTTATTTACCTATCTATGTGTTTGTCCATCTGTCAACTAAATGAGACACTTAAATGCAATGTGAGCTTGGACTGAGTATTCATTTTCCTGAACTGGAGAGCATGAGTTGTGTGGCATGGATGTCTCTCTCCACTTCCCCAGGGGATTCTGAATAATATTCCCTCTGACTGAGCTTCCTCTGACTGAAGTTGACTTGATAGCTAATGAAGAGATTTAATTGTTTAAACATTCTCGCTTCAAAGTATCTTAATTCACTTATTGAACAAACATTTACTGATCACCTACTATATGCAGGGCACTGTTCTGGGGGTTTGAGAACCCAGTTAGTGAACAAAATACATAAACATTCTTCTTTCATAAAGCTTACAGTCTAGCAAAGGGGGACAGACAGTAAACATACGAAATAAGTCATGTAGAGTGTTAGTAGGCAGGAGGAGTTTGGGGAGAAGATGTAGACTAGGGGAATTGCTTGTGAGCAGGCTTAGAATTTGGTCAGGGTAGGCCCCATTGATAAGATGATAGTGGAGCAAGAATGTGAAGGATGTGAGGGGATTAGTTCTGTGTATATCTGCGGTAAAGCATTCTGGGAAGAGGGAGTTGTCTTTGTAGTGCCTTGGGGCTGGAGTGGGAAGAAATAGTGAGGGAAGAGGTACTTCTGCGCGTATTGATTGGTTGGTTGGTTGAGGGGCATGGTGGGGCATGGAGAGTGCCGCTGCTCTCGTCTTAACTTGGTGGATAGGGACCCCGGGTTCCCAGAAGCAGCTCACCTCTATAAATCTCTTTTCTTTCACCATTTTAATTGTAAAAAAAAACCAGAAGGAAGACTCTTTTAGCCAGCAGAATAAGATATACTTTAAGTCATTAATTCCTTTTGGGATAGAGCCTGGATTACAGCACCAGAGGGACAGAGTAAATGCATTGCCACTCCTTTTTGGTCTCTTCCCTGCTCAGTGCTGATTTTGATATTTCATGAAGATTGTGGACTTCTGTTGAAACTACAGCTTTAAATCATCATAGACTTTTCCAAAGATATCTAATAATCTCTAGCAAAAAATATAAGGGTTTTGAATATCAGAAATACCGATATTTTAAATGTCATAAATATATAACAGTCTGGTACATCACTAAAGTTAGGAGATGGAAATTCCCTATTTAGTAATAATGATTATCACTCAGATATTGATGTAATATCATGCCAGATATTAAGTACCCCTTGTCTGCTAGATATTAAGTACTCAATTACAAGTCATCAATTCTATTCTCTTTCTTTATGTAGTAACAGAATTCACAAATATTCATAAATGTTCATTTTAGCAAAAATAAAGTAGAGCTTTATTCATCTGTTTTATGAGAGTTATCTAAGCCATTAAGGGCAAGATCAGGACACTTTTTCTCACCACCTAGTGTCCCCTGTGCACAGCGTCTCTCTACCACTTGCCTACCAGGAGACCCCAGACATGTTATTTAGTCTTTATGAGCCTCAGTTTCCCCTGTAGTGTGGATTGTGGTTAGGGTTGAATGATGATTGTGTAAAGGCTTAGCACTCAGTAGCTGCCATCATTATTGCCCCAACACCCTATTATAGCCCAGAGCAAAGCCAGGAGCATTGGAAAAGAGCCAGGCTCTGGATGAGTGATGGGGAATGGGGCTGGGAGAACACAACAATCTAGATACACATGGTTTTGGACTTGCTTTCCTGCAGAGGCTGAAATGCAAGCCTTTGCTGTGGTTAATTGATTGTATTTTAAGTTTTGACATATGCAGTGGTATAATGAATTATGATTTATTATGTTCAAAAGTAAAGGGAATTATCCTGGGAACCTTCTCTGTACCAAGCAGTGTGCCGGGAATTTACTTTAACATGTTATTTCCTTTGATACTGACAACAACATTGTGAAGGTAGGTAGTGGTATTTTCATTTTAGAGGTGAACAGAAGGCCTAAAGAAGGCATATTAGACAATCCCATAAAAATGAGGAGTGGCAAATGTCTTGTTACATTGTCTCAACCATGAAACTTGACTTTCCTTTTTAAAATAATTGTGTTGGCCGGGCGCGGTGGCTCATGCCTGTAATCCTAGCTCTCTGGGAGGCTGAGGCAGGTGGATTGCTCAAGGTCAGGAGTTCGAAACCAGCCTGAGCAAGAGTGAGACCCAGTCTCTACTATGAATAGAAAGAAATTAATTGGCCAACTAACATCTATATAGAAAATATTAGCCGAGCATGGTGGCGCATGCCTGTAGTCCCAAGCCTACTTGGGAGGCTGAGGCAGCAGGATTGCTTGAGCCCAGGAGATTGAGGTTGCTGTGAGCTAGGCTGACGCCACCGCACTCACTCTAGCCTGGGCAACAAAGTGAGACTGTTGTCTCAAAAACAAAAACAAAAATAAATAAATAAAATAATTGTGTTAACTTATTCTGAAATAACCAGAAATATGTTTTTTTCCTAACTTTTTTCCTGGGGAGAAAAGAAGTAATACATTATTTATACCCCTTTTTCTTCAGGTGTTCAGAGTAATTTTATTCTTTCTGCATTAATACTTCTTTGCCTTATTAAGTACAGGAAAGCAGGTAGTGTTATCTTCATTTGGCAGATGGCTAATATGAGATGTTGAGAACCTAAAAATCATTTGGAAATGTTTCATATGAAGTATTGAGTATTATATAAAACAAGCTAGGTTTCATACAGTACATTTAAATTCAGTATAAGTGCAAGCAGGCAAATAGCTCAGCAAAACATAAAATATATTAGGATTAAATTACTATGAGTAAGAATGGTATACTATACATTTAGAATTAATATGTGAACATATGTTTTACCAGTCAAGAGTTTCTTAAAGTTGCAAATGTTGAATTGACGCAAGTTGTTTTTTTGTTTTGTTTTGGAGACGGGCTCACTCTGTCACTAAGGGCTAGAGTGCAGTGGTGTCATCACGGCTCACTGCAACCCAAAACTCCTGGGCTCAAGCAATCCTCCTGTTTCAGCCTCCTGAGTAGCTGGGATTACAGACACATACTACCACACCCAACAAAATTTTTTTTTTAATTTTCTGTAGAGACAGGGTCTCACTACATTGTTCAGGCTGGTCTCGAACACCTGGACTCAAGTGATCCTCATCCTTCGGCCTCCCAAAAAGCTGGGATTATAAGCATGAGCCACAGTGCCTGGCCAAACTGATGCAATTTAAGAGGCATTTTATCAATTGAAATTTATTCATTAAATTATTTGATGAATATTAAATATATAATGGAGTATCAAAAAGTGTCCATGCTTATGTTATCTTCTAAAGATAGAATCTGGCTCATGAAATCTAGAGGGAAGGCAAAAATAAGTATAAAATTACAATGTTGATAAGAACTTGAAAGAAAGGTATGTGGTACTATAGAATTTTAAAATAGGAACATTTGACTTACTCAGGGAGGAGAGGAAGGCTTCTCTGAAGAACTGGTGATTCTGTTGGCTCTGGTATTTGAATGAAGAGTAGTGGGCAATACAAGAGACCAGCCACAGGCTAAGGAGAGGAGCACATCTACGGCAAGATTGACTCAGACTTCCAGGCACAATGTGATGACATTCGGAGTAAGGGATTTGCAGCAGAGATGAAAATAAGAGGAGTCTTAAGTAAAAAAAATATATATATGGAGGAAATAATATCCATGAAATTAAATGATGGATTGAATATGGATGGGGTTGAGGGATAAGGAACTGCCAATATAGCTTAAGAGCTATAAATTAATATTGTGATTGAAGGCTCAACCACAAGGCCTTAAAAGAAAATTAGAGTGAGCAATCGCTGTCTATCCCTCTATAAGACTGTATCCATTTTAATTGACCTTTAAAATTTACAGAGGAATAGATTCTGTACCATCTCCTTCAATAATACTTCGCTATATATTTTATCTGAAGAGCTCAGGAATTTTAATTTGAGAAAGTAACTTAATGAAAATTTCATGGCTGTTTTCTTTTTATTTTAACTGGTAGAATCTTAAGAAAATTCAAGAAATGGAAAAGAGTGATGAATCTAGCACAGACTTGGATGAGCTGAAAAATGCTGACTGGGTAAGATAGCTGGATATGCTTTCTGATCTGTTCAGTGTCTAAAATAATGGTATAATTTTTTTAAATGCTGGTTATTTAAGGACAGTAGTATGAATTGATATATGAATTTGAATACTTAGTCTTACATTTGATGAAATAATATCTATTTCCCATTTTAAAAAGCATTCTGATTTTATTAGAACCACCCCCAATATCTGTGGAAATTTCAATGTTTTAAAATATTAACATTTCTAATTATATTAATACCTTAACATATTCTTGTATATAAATCAAAGATTAAGCTCTGTTATCAGGATTAAGTGTGAAACTAATAGTGTAGAACATTCATTTATCCAATGAACAGTTACTAGATTAAGACCCAGAGGATGCAAAATGAATAATATGGGGTCTCTTGTCCTCAAAAAATTTAGTGTAGAATAGAAGACAGATTTATAGAACAGATAAGTATGGTGTATTCATGTGACAAACTTTGATTATCTACTGTTTTTCATGGTTGGTTTTAAATCCTAGTGATACCTAAGTCCCTGCCCTCATAAAAAACTTAGATTTGGTAAGCATGACAGCCTTGAGGATAGAACAGTGAATATCATGAAGGGTTAGATTGGATAATATTGAGGGAAGGCACATTTTAGGATTTTGACTTTTTAGGTTAAGGATCCTGGATAAATAATGCCATTATTAAATGAGAAAATACAGGACTAGGTGCTGATTTGAGGGATATGCATGAATTGCTTTTGACCATAAAAGGTTTTAATTGTTTGCCACATTCTTTTCTAACAGCTTTATTGAGGTATAATAGACATACAATAAGCTGCACATATTTAAAATGTATCATTTGATAAGTCTTGAGATATGTATGTGTACATATACATACCCAGGAAACGATCACCACAGTCAAAATAATGAGCCTATTCATTGCCACCCAAAATTGCCTCATACCCCTTTGTAATCCTACCTCTTGCCTCCTTCTTCCCCAGTTTCCAGGCAATCAGTCATCTGCTTTCTGTACTATAGATTAGTTTGTATTTTCTAGAATTTTATATAAATGCAGTCATACAGTATATACTGGTTTTCCTTTGGCTTCTTTCACGCAGCACAATTGTTTTGAGGTTTCATCCGTGTTGTTGCCTTCATCAGTAGTTTGTTTCTTTTAATTGCTGCATAGTATTACATTGTATGGATATATCACAATTTGTTTATCCATTCATTACAAATGATGGTTATTTGTGTTGTTTCCTATTTGTAATATTCTTTATTTATTGATAGCTATCTTTAGTGAGATATTTGGAATGGTATTAATCTAGAACATTTTAGAGTAAGGATTAAAAATATTGCATATTTTGCCTTAAAAGCTAATATCACTTGTCATTTTAGAAAAATTTTGAAAAATATTGATTGTGAGTTTTCCTTTGTATGGGAGAATACTCTGGCAGTGCTGCTTTAGCTGTATTTCGTCTTGGCTAATAGTATCTTTTCATTTTCCTAGGCATTGAAGCCAGTTTAAAAATCCCAGGTGTTCAGAAGTTAGCAAACAGCTAGTATAAACTTGAACTAAAAATTTAATTGCTTATTGTAAGATACCCTCTTTTAAAAGCCAGTATGATCACTGACGAGAGATGCACTAACTACAAAGGGAGTGTCATTTGCCTAGATAGCTAGCCTCCTCTCATAAGGCCAATAAAATGAACCACCTAGAAAGATTAGAATGAAAAGAGGAAAGGATGGGAGAGAATTAGAATATCTTTCATGGCAGAATTCAGATTATCTCAGGATCTCCTTAGTAGGATAAGGGGTAGATGATAAAATCCCTAGAAAAACATATGAAGACAGTCATGTGTGATTTTATGTAATAACTGTGACTTTAATTTCTGAATAGTTTTATGTAAGGTTTTTGCCAAACAATAACATACAGAGAACTAGCTACATAACAGAGTCTATTCGAATCTTTTTATAAATTATAGCAAAAGCTTCCAATGTGAATAATCATCTTCTAATTTATCTGTTTTGTGAATTCAAAGTTTCATATGTCAGGTTTAAGAGAAGAGACAGTATGTTAAAAGATGAGATGATGTTTGAACTGGATCTTAAAGGAATGAATAAGAGAATTGGAGAAGTTGGGACAAGAGTACTCACAAAAGAGAAATATGGATACTTCAGGGATATTATCTTAGAATATCTTTAATGTCACAAGCTAAGAATCTTTAAAAATATGATATAAATATTTTAGAAGGTGTTCTAATGGATACACCACAATATTAGGTATCTCAAATCCTTTTTGGAACAAGAGAATGGGAAATGGTATACATTTTTTTGAAATCACAAATTGTTATGAGGACATTTTTGAGAAATTTAATTGTTATTTTATGTAAAAGATTTTTATGAAATACATCACTTGATTTTTATTATACAACAGATATATTTAAGTAGCTATTTAAGTCACTTGTTAATTTTAACAAGCTATAATATTTTAGTTAAATATTGTATTGATTGACTTTTCACTGAAGTAGAGACCGTGACACCTTAGGTTATAGGCAGGAGAACAAAAGAGTTAAAGTATAATATGCATATTTAATATGTTTTATATTATTTTAAATACTTTCACATAAATTTCATTTTATTCTGAGAATTCTTAAAGGTACACAAGGCAACCTATTATTTGTAGATAAGAAAACTGTGATTAAATAATGTGTGCGAAGATAGTAACAACATTAAAAGGGTCATTTTTGAGCATTTTCTGTATACAGAACACTATATATCAATTCCGATTTTCTCAACAAGTTATGAAGTGTTATTTTCTTTTATTGAAAAGAAACTAGGGCTAAGAAAGGTTCAGAAACTTGCTGGAAGCCAAGTAGCTGGTAGGTGGTTGTATCAGTCAGCTATGGCCACAGAAATGCTGTGTAAGTACTACACAATCACTGTGGCATAAAGCAAAAACACTTCTCTAGCTCATGGGTCTGCAGATCCTTTATGGTAGCTCCACTCTACAGGGAACACAGACCAATTCAGGCTTGAGGTTCTCATGGCCGTAATAGAGACAGGAAGGACAAATGCTTTTTGAAGCCATTGGTCTCATCACACCCACCACTCTTCCGGTGGCCAAGAAAACCACATAGCCAAACCCAAAGTCAGGGTGTGGGAAATATACTCCTCCTTAGCAAAGTCACATAGCAGGGTGTAGACACAGGGAGGCATGAAGAACTGGGTCCCTTAATGCGGCCTGCTAGGGTGGTGGAGCTAGGATTTAAACCCAGGTGCCTCAGCAGGTAGAGCCTGTGGATTCTCAGCTGACTTTCTGCCCATCTTTTAGTATCTTAAAATCTAATTTTTAAAATAGTTTTTGTTTGGTTTATTCAGTATTTTGTAACCTAATATCTTCTTTTATTCTGTACAACTTTAGCTATTTAGAGGAAACTAGTAAATTTATTCATCGCTGTCTCACCTCTCTTGCTTATTTCAGGCACGATTCTGGGTACAGGTGATGAGGGATTTGCGGAATGGGGTAAAACTTAAGAAGGTCCAAGAACGGCAGTATAACCCTTTGCCCATTGAATATCAGCTCACCCCTTATGAGATGCTAATGGATGACATTCGGTGCAAAAGATACACTTTGCGAAAAGTGATGGTAAGTAACAAAGAAAACTATTAATTATACTCAAATTGTTATTCTTCTATAATCATATTTGTTGAAAATGGTCTTTCAATATTAAATTTTCAAAATTATTTCTTATAAAAGTAATACTTGGTCATTGTGGAAAATTGGGAAAATGCATTAAGCTCAAAGAAGGAAAGTTACCAACATGTAATTGCATACCCTAAAGAGAAATTTTGTTACTGTGTTTGTACATAACCTTTAGTCTTTTTTCTCTGCATTTTACTTGGACAAAAGGGTTAATATTGAATATTTTGTTTTGTAATTATTTTTGCTTAACATATTGTTTCTATGCCATTATATTAAATATTTAACATCATCATTTCTAAATGGCTACATCTTTTCTAGTTTATGGCTATACCAGAGTTTATTAAACTAATCACCTGCATCCAGTTACAAGCAGCCTGTTCCGTGTATCCTCATGTATAAATCTTTCTGCATAGCCATAACGAAATCCTTGAGTTCAGTTCTTGGAAGTGAAACATCCAGTTCATGAACAAATCCTGACAGCTCTGCCTTTAAAATATATCCCAAATCTGACCACTTCTCAACACCTCTACTTCAAACATCTTCTATTCCAAGCCACCATCACCTCTCATTCAGACCATTACAGTGGCCTTTAAGTGGCCTTCCTGCTTTCACTCTTGCTCCGTTTCAATCTATTTTTCCTGAAGAGAGCCATACTAGGCCTCTTAAGTAAAAAATGTGATCATGTCATTGCCCTGCTCAGAACCTTCCACAGGCTCTTCATCACACTCAGAATAAACTCCATGTTTTTACCTTGGCCTGCACAGCCCTCTCTCACACCTCCTCTCCTGCTACCCTTCCCAGCTGAGTGCTCATTAGCCGCTCTGACCTCTGCCACTGTCTTAGAAGTGTTTAATGTGCTCCTGCTGTGAAGCCTTTGCCTTTGCTATTTCCACTCCCTGGAACTCTATTTTCCCACATAACTACATAGTTTGCCTCTTCATTTTTCAGGTCTCTGTTTAAGTGCTCCCTTGTTAGAAAAGTCTTCTCTCCCTCTCTTTTTGCAAGTGTTTCACTAGGTTACATTGCTATATATTTTCAGACTTACTGTCTCCCTTACAAAGACAGGGACTTAGTTCTTTTCACTGTTCATCCCCTGTGACGAGGACACATGCCTAACATGCAGCCAAATACTAACTACTGTGCTCAGTAAATAGTTGTGTAATGAATTACTTAATTCTATCCATATTTTTGAGAAAAATTAATCAGTTATTTTACATAGAAAATTTTTTATTATTATTTTTATTTTAAAAATGTTAAACTTTTAAAAAATTTTTACTTTTTTTCTTTTTTTCTGCCTCTAAAGGGAGTTGATACAGAAAATTCTTCTGAAACACATCACTGGTTTTATATTAAATTGATTTAAATAGCTATTTGAACTTATTAATTTTAATAAGCTATAATATTTCACTAAATATCATGTATTTACTTTTCAGTAAATTTGATTTACTTTACAGATTAGGAAATTGAAATTTATAGATGGTCAGTAGTAACTTCCCAAGTTCAGAGAACTACAAGGCAAAGCTGAATATCAGTCTCCTTCTGTCTGACTCCAGACCCTGTGCTGTGTACTACATATATATTGCCCAGTTGCCCTCAGAAATACTGTGATGATGATTATTTACCACAGAATAGTTTTGCCCATTTCTTTGCATCTTTGCAAAAACTGGTTATCTTTTGGGGTTGACCAATTTGGAAGAAAATACTCTTTCATTTTTAAAATCTACATTCTCTGATTATAAGTGCACTTAATCGTTTTATGCCAGCTGTTGTATTTCTTAATTTTATTTTAATGAACAAGTATGTATTAAGCACTTCTCATGTGCCAGGCCTATCCTAGACTCTGAAGGAAGGACACATTACAGTCCTTATTCTCTTAAAGCTTCCAGGATGACAGGAGCCACTAGTAACCTTAGGGGAAGAAGTATGCATAAAAAAAAGTTCAAAGACCAAGAAACAATGGAAAAACACCAGAAACAATTCTCCATCATTAGAGCACTGAATGGAGTGTAGAAATTGTGAAGGGTGAAGCTTGCAAGATCAGAAGAAAAGAACTCAGGACAGAACCTGTGGAGCCTCAGCATTTAAGGTTGAGCAGAGATAGATGGTAAAATAAAGATGGACAAGGTGTAGCTAGAGAGAAGATAGGAAAGTCAGGGGAAGTAGAGTCACAGCTGCAAAGGGCAGGCAGTGTTTCAGAAAGGTCATATGAGCACTGGGAAATGGTGAACAGATTTAGAAAATTATTTGTTATTTTTATTAAGTAAGGAAGAATCAGAACCAGATTGTAGGGTGGGAGGTGAGGAAATAGAGACAGTGAGTATACAATATGTGTCTCTTTTAAGAAGTATTTAAAATGAGATCAAAGATAGCTTCTGGGGGTACACATGGGATATTTCTTTGTATACATGTACCCAATCCCCTATGAGTAGACATTTAGGTTGTTTCTAGTTTTCATCGTTTTAATCAGTTTCATGATGACCATCTAAATACAAATATCCAATTATCTCTTTGGTTTAAATTTCTCTTGGTGAGATTAATAGGTAAAAGATAATGTACATTTTCAGTTTTAATATGTATGTTTTATAAAATTTCTCTCCACAAGTGTTGTACTAATTAACACTTTTAACAAGTATTGCAAAATAATTCCTGTTGCTAGTACTGGGTAATGTTATCTTTTTCAAAAATGTATACTTATTGAAACTTTGTCCTCTCTGATTGGGTGACCACTTAATGTTAATCTCAGGTGATTTTCCTCTGGATCCAGAGGGAATTATTAAAAATTAACATCCAGCCGGGCGCAGTGACTCATGCCTGTAATCCTAGCACTCTGGGAGGCCGAGGCAGGCAGATTGCTCAAGGTTAGGAGTTCGAAACCAGCCTGAGCAAGAGTGAGACTCTGTCTCTACTAAAAATAGAAAGAAATTAATTGGACAACAAAAAATACATTGAAAAAATTAGAGCATGGTGGCACATGCCTGTAGTCCCAGCTACTCGGGAGGCTGAGGCAGTAGGATCACTTGAGCCCAGGAGTTTTAGGTTGCTGTGAGCTAGGCTGATGCCACGGCACTCTAGCCTGGGCAACAAAGTGAGGCTCTGTCAAAAAAAAGGAAGAAGAAGAATATTTCCGTTATCTGTTTAACTTCAAGTTCAGCTGCCTAAAAAAGTTCATTTCAAAAACAAGATGAAATTCAAGGTTAGTATTTTTAAATGTTCAAAGGGGATCATTTTTGTGTATTAAAAGTTTTTTTGTTTATTATGGCTCAAAGGTAAGATCATGTTTCTATAACTGATCTTATTTACTTATGGGTCTACTATTTGTGTTCATCCAAGCATCATTTTTCATCAGTTCAGAGGGCTTGTTTCAGGAAAGGTTCTGTATTTATATGAAAATAACTTCGCTGACCCAACACCAGAACAGGTTTTCATGCAGCCACTTTTCCCTGTACAGGGTGAGCATCCCAAATCTGAAGATCAGAAACGCTCCAAAATCTAAAACTTTTTGAGTGCCAACACTCAAAGGAAATATTCTTTCAGGTTTTGGATTTTTGTATAAGTGTAATATAAATATTCCAAAATCTGAAAAAAATTCAAAATCCAAAAGATTTCTGGTCCTGAGCATTTTGGTTAAGAAACAGTCAACCTGTACTGACTGACATTCATGCTCGCCTGCCATCTCTCCGGTGAGCACTGACCCATGTTTGTAGTTAGGACCCAGGATATACCTTTTGACTACTGAAAAAGCCTAAGTTAATGTTCTTGTTTTGGAAATGGATTTATAATCTTGGCTTCATCTAATCTATTCTCTCAATCCTGATGTGATGGAAAGAACATTAAAGTATATGAAAATTAGCTAGAAAGATATGCCTTATTCTATTCAGGAATAGAATAGTAGGTATTAGAAAAGTCTGACTAAATTGTTTCATCCAATGAGGAATTTTTTTTTAAATCTTATATAACATGAAATCCATAGGTTGGGGGAAGTGCCTACAGTTCTAAGTCACATGTCCTCCTTAAACCAAGTACTAATAGCCACATGCATGGCTTGCCTCAAGAAGTGATTGCTCCTAAAGCTTGCTGTAGGGCCATCCTGCCCTCATTCAGAACTAGGGGTGTGAGTGCAGGGTGGGGAGGCAGGCACCAGGAAGAAGAGGGGAGTAGATGTTCGATAGGCCCCAGGAGGCTTGTCTGGGACAGAGGCTCTGAACTCGGACAGAGGGGTCACATCTGGGGAGGGCACTGGGCCTAGCAGTGGAAGTTGAGGGTTCTATTTTGTTCCAGCAAGACTGGGAAACAAATATAACAAATGGTCACAACTGTGTCTTCTGGGTGGTCAGAATATAAGTTTAGGTTGTTATTTTCTGTGGATTTCTGGGTTCTTTTTTAATAGTTCTAAAAAAATTGTTTTAACACACTGCTTTAAAAAAGGGAGGACATTAGAATAGAAGTGAGAGACAGACCAGTGCTCCACAGTAACTCTTCTACCTGTGACATCTGTAGCTAGGTATCCTTTACTCTGTGCTCCGTTTTATTTACAGAATGTAAATCATGTCACCAGTCCTTTCTGTTACCAAGGTTTTTTACAAGGATGAAAATAAAGATGAAAGGCTTTTTAAATTATAAAATACTTAACAAGCACAAGTATTATTTCATTTACATTCATAATTTTAGAAACTTTTTACTGGAAGAAATGTGTTTCACACAATTTCCCAAAATGGTAGAACTAAAGTAAACTTGGATTTTTTTCAATTCCACGTGGTTATTTTTGCTCTGAATCAAACAGCCGTTTACTTCCCACTTTATTGATTTGAGATGCATCCTTAGTAGAGCCAGATTACACTTAACTAATTATGTGACATTTTTGACATGTGACAACTATACCTAGAAACTCAGAATAATAATCTTATAGTCACATGAATCTTCTACCTTTTGTCTCCTTTTAGGTGAATGGTGATATTCCCCCTCGGCTAAAAAAGAGTGCTCATGAAATCATCCTCGACTTCATCAGATCAAGACCTCCTTTAAATCCAGTAAGTAATTTGACATATTACTCTTGATTGGAGACATCACAATGAATTATTCTCCTCTAGGTTGTCATCTCCAGAACTCAATTTTTCTAAGTGTTTAAGTTTTTACACTGAAATTTTATTCTAATGATGAATCCCAAATATAAATTATATTCTTAAGTCACAAAAAATACTTAAAACTATTCAATAAAAGGCTGTTTTAGGGTGTTTTTACTCAAAACAACCTGAGTCATGGTGCAAAATCTGGCCATATGCTTCTTTTACTCTGAGCTAAATAAATACTAGTTCCTGGTGTGAATTGCCCTTCCAATTTACTTTTTAGTGCTACCAGCCCTCTTTTATTAAATCCTCATGTAGTCAATATTTTATAATCAGTCCTCTCTACTGTATATCCACTTTTATGTGAATTATCTTCCTTTGTTAACAGGATTCTTTCTAGTTACCATAGAGTCAGAATATTCTAATCTGTTTGAATGATGATTTGTGTTCCCTCTGTTCTTCACTTCTTTTCCCCCCAGCTCAATAGCTAGCGCTCACTAAAGGTTCTCAAACCTATAACATAAAAGTAACTATAAAGAGAATGGTATTTCCCACTTAGGTATAGCTAAAGCAAAATTAATGATCCTTTTTATAAATCTTTTTAAAAGAAGGGAAAGATTTTTCGCTCTTATTCTGGGAAATAAGGAAAAATAAATTTAAAAACTTAAAGGTAAACAGGCCACCTAGAAATGATTTTAGGAAGGGAGGTCATAGGAGAACAGAAAGAACATAGAGTCACATGAACCTAGATTTGCACACTAACTCCACAATTTAGCAGCCACATGTTTCTGAGGGAGTTAATCAGCTTCCTTAAGTCCTGATTTCCTCAACTATAGAATGAAGATAATAATCTAAAAAGGTTACAGTGTCATGCTAGCATATAGGGAATATAATTATAACTTTAGCAAAACTGACTCCTGAGAATTAGTTGAGTGAGGTTGGCACAGTGGCACATACATATAGTCCCAGCTACTCGGGAGGCTGAGATAGGAGATCACTTGATCCTGAGAGTTTAAGGCTGCAGTGAGCTATGATTGCACCTGTAAATAATAGCCACCGCATTCCAGCCTAGGCAACATAATGAGACCCCATCTCTAAACAAATACATAAAATAAGATTAATTAAACATCTATGACTAAATCACTGTGAAATCCAGTAATCTCCCTATTGATTTAGGAATCTTGATATTTAATGACTTGAAAATAGTCTTATATCAGGCAATGTTATAACCATTGAAACTGATTATAACTGTACTATATGTTGGGCAATACTATACTGGATGAATGGACTTTGGTAAAAATTACTTAAGGACAAATATTCAAGTCTCTAGCCATTGTGCTTTTTTTCCCCAAGGCCTCAGCCAGAAAACTGAAACCAACCCCACCACGGCCACGGAGCCTCCATGAACGAATATTAGAAGAAATTAAAGCAGAAAGAAAGCTGCGCCCTGTCTCACCAGAGGAGATTAGACGTAACAAATTATGTGAGTACACTGCTTCCTGCACTCTCGGTCTAGAGTCTTCCATTGGGAAAGTGTTTTTTACAGCCAGCCCCATGAAAATACTGGCACAAAGTAAAAAGGATCCATGGAGTTTTCATTCCTTGTTCATTTCTCTCCCTTTCTCTCTCTCTCTCTTTTGCTCTCTCACTCACTTGTTCTCAGTCATACACACACACACACACACACACACACACATACACTCTCACACTTGAAGTTTACACATGGAATTCATAGAATAGGAAATTCTTTCCCCATCTGATATTGAACTATACGAGAGCATCATAACATAATGGAAAGAGCTCTACCAGTTTCTAGACTGAGGTTTTAGGAGAGTTCCTTTACCTCTCTGGGCATCATTTGCTTCATTGGCAGAAAGGGTTTAAAAATTCCTCTTACCAGCCAGGCACAGTGGCTTACACCTATAATCCCAGCACTTTGAGAGGCCAAGGTGGGAGGCTCGCTTGAGGCTAGGAGTTTGAGACCAGCCTGAGCAACATAGCGACATCTCATCTCTACAAAAAGTAGAGAAATTAGCCAGGTATGGTGTCGCAACCTGTGGTGTCAGCTATTTAGGAAACTGAGGTAGGAGGATTGCTTTGACCCCAGGATTTTGAGGTTGCATTGAGCTATGATGACGCCACTGCACTGTAGCCCAGGCAACAGAGTGGGCAACTCTGTCTCAAAAAAAAAAAAAAAAGAGAAAGAAAAGAAAATTTTCTTTTTACCTACATTCTGGCTTTTATGTAAGAATTAAATAGGCTTGTGATAAAAATACTTTATAAATTATAATGCATATACAGAGATAAGGTATTGCATTTTAGAAATATAGATATACATAGTTTTACCTTATGTTTCTATCATCTTAATTATGGAATTAATGATACAGTATTGTGATGAAATTGTCAATTATTATCTGATATTTAACTGATTCCTAAATTTTCTTCATATTTATTGTTTTTAATTTTTTATATATACCATAAGCATACACTGATTTATAGCAAGATCATATTATAAGATTTTTGTAAACATTTTTGTTTAAATGGCTCTCTTCCAATTTGTACAATTAAAGATGCCCAAAAATTCACAGAAATTCCTTTAGGAAAATAGATTATAGTGTTACCTGAACAGGAAAGGAACCAGTTCTGTGACACCACACTCTGCTAGTTTTCTCCTCTGACCTCTTATTCTGCCTCCTATCTACCGCGTCAGCCTTCTGTCTGTCCTCCCTGCTTGAGGTCTTAAACTTTTCAACCAATCCATGTTGATTTTCCTTGTTTGATCCTGGCCCTTCTGTTACAGTGTGAGCTCTGTTATGGCAGGGCCAGTGTCTGTCTTGTTTGGTCTTGTGTCTCTAGTACAGCGCTGGGCTGTACAAAGTACTGTTATATGTGCTGAAATGATTAAATGTACCTTCTTGTTACAAAGCTACAGAGTATTCATGATTATATCAATTGATTTCTCTCTGCTTATTTTGGCAACAAGTTTTCTCTCTTAAAAATGATGTTTAAAGCATGCTAAGTGACAGATCAATATGAGCATTTATATAAATTATGAGCCAAAACATACAAGCCATGCAAACCAAGAGTTCTTTCTGTGAGAGTCCTTAAATTAGCCTGAGGAACATCTGTGCATCCTCTGAAATATAAAAAAATTTTGCATATTTCACAAAATTTATGCATGTGTGTTTTTTTGAAGAGGCAGTCCATACTTTTCCTTATATTCCTAAACGGTCCATAGCCTCAAAAGAGTAAAAAACAATATGAAAAAATAAGAAAATGATACTGTAGAATCTGTATAAACCACTGTAGATAGATAGTTTATGACTGTATTTTAAAAATTTGCTACACCTTACAAAGTAATGGGATTAATAGAAAAGATTTTAATAAAACTATAAGGTAAAACAAATATATTACTCTGAGAAAAGTAAGCTTTATGATTTATATGAGTAGAGAGTAATTAGGCTTAGAGATTGTAAACTTCCATGGAAGTACCAAAAGAATATTCTATAGAAAGAAATAAGATAGGTATAATGTGCTTGTATGATTTGAATTAATATTTGACATCTAGTTCCTTAATTTTTCCAACAGTTTTTTGAACATTTACTATCTATTGAACATTGAACATTTACTACTATCATTGTGCCAGTGACTGGGATTACAAGATGAATAAGGCATAGTCCCTGCTCAGAAAATACTTCCACAGTAGTGGCTCTGAAGTACCATGTGCATTCATGTTGTAAGAGATATAAATGAACATTTACAACAGCCAGTCAGAATGGCTTTAAGTGAGGTCACTTAAGAAAGTGTAAGAGAAAGATTAGCAGGACTTTTAAGCAATCAGGGGGACACTGCCCTTGCACCTAAGCGTTATACTGAACCTTTTTGTAAAATTGTGGTAAAAACACTTAACATGAGGTCTACCCTCTTAACAAATGTTAAGTGTACAATACCTTTTTGTTGATTATAGGTACAGTGTTGTACAGCAGAACTCTGGAGCTTATTTATTCATTTTGTATGATTGACATGTATCTTAAACCCGTGGATTAGTAACTCCCCATTCCCTTTACCCCCCAGCCCCTGGCAACCACCATTCTACTCTTTAATTCTATAAATTTGGCTATTTTAGATACCTTATATAAGTGGAATCTGCAGTATTTGTCTTTCTGTGACTGGCTTATTTCACTTAACATAATGTCCTGAAGGTTCATCGATGTTGTTGCATTTTGAAGAAGCTCCTTCCTTTATGAGGCTAAATAATACTCCATTGTGTATATATACCACCTTTTCTTTACCTATTCATCTGTCAGTCATACTTAGGTTGTTTCCACCTCTTGGCTATTATGAACGGTGCTGCAGTGAATACAGGCAAGCTTCTATATCTTCAAGATTCTGATTTCTATTTTTTGGGATATATACCTAGAAATGGGATTACTGGACCATATGGTAGTTGTATTTTTAATTTTTTGAGGGACCTCCATACTCTTTTCCATAGCAGCTGCATCATTTTGCATTCTCACCTACAGTGTACAAGGGTTTGGTTCCTTCACATTGTCGACAATTTTTATCTTTTGGGCTTTTTTTGATAATAGCCATCCTACAGGTAGAAGGTGATATCATATTGTGATTTTGATTTTAATTTCTCTGATGATTAATGACCTTGAGTATTTTTTCATATACCTGTTGACCACTTGTAAGTCTTCTTTGGGAAAATGTATGTTTAGGTCCTTTCTTAATCAGGTTATAGTTTTTTTTTTACTATTGAGTTATAGAAGTTCATTATGTATTTTGGATATTAATCCCCTTTGTATATCTTGTCTACAAATACTTCCTCACATACAGTGGGTTGCCTTTTTGTTCTGTTGATTATTTCCTTTGCTGAGCAGAAGCTTTTTAGTTTGATGTAGACTGATTTGTTTATTTTTTTGTTTATGTTTTGTTATTTTGTTGTATTATGTTTTTGTCGCCTGTGCTTTTGGTGTCATCTCCATGAAATCATTGCCAAGACCAATATCATGAAGCCTTTTCCCTATGTTTTCTTATAGAAGTTTTGCCATTTCAGATCTTATGTTTAAGTTTTTAATCCATTTTGAGTTGGTGTAAGATAAGGGTTATTCTTTTGCATGTGGATATACAATTTTCCCATCACCATTTTGAAGACACTATACTTTCACCATTGTGTGTTCTTGGCACCCTTGGTCAAGACCCCTTGACCATATATGCATGAGTTTATTTCTGGCATCTCTTTTCCATTGGTCTGTCTATCTGTGTGCCAATACCATACTGTTTTGATTACTCTAACTTTGTAATATATTCTAACATCAGAAAATGTGATACCTCTAGCTTTGTTCTTCTTTCTCAAGAATGATTGGCTATTCATCATCTTTTGTGGTTTCATATGAATTTTAGGATTTTTTTTTCTATTTATGTACACAAAAAAACCCACTAGAATTTTCATGGGGATCGCATTCCATCTGTATATAGCTTTGGGTAGTATGCACATTTTAACAATAAGTCTTTCAACCCATGAATGCAGGATGTCTATTTGTTTGTGTCTTGTATTAATAGTTTTCCCTATACATATCTTTTACCTTCTTAGTCAAGTTTATTCCTAGGTATTGTATTTTTTTGGGTACTATGATCAATAGTATTGCTTTCCTTATTTTCTTTTCAGATAATTTGTTGTTAGTGTATTTAAATGCCGCGGGTTTTTGTAGTTGATTTTGTATCCTGCAACTTTACTGAATAAATTTGTTTATTAGTTCTAACAGTTTTTTTATTGAGTCTTTAGGGTTTTCTATATATAAGATCATGTCATCTGCAAACAGGGACAATTTTATCACTTCCTTTTCAATTGGATGCCTTTTATGTCGTGGTGTTTTTTTATTTTGTTTTGTTTTTTGTTTTTTGCCTAATTGTTGTGGATAAAACACCTGGTACTATGTTGAATATAGAAGTGGTCATCCTTGCTTTGTTCCTGATCTTAGAGGAATAGCTTTCATGTTTTCCCTGTTGAGTATGATGTTAACTGTAGGCTTTTCATATATACATTTATTATGAAAGGGTATTAAATTTTGTCAAATACTTATCTTTGTCTTTTGAAATGGTCATGGTTTTTTTTAATTCTTTATTCTCTTAATATGGTGTATCACATTAATTGATTTTCATATATTAAGCCATCCTTACATCTCAGGGAGAAATCCCACTCCATCATGTTGTGTGATCTTTTTAATGTGCTATTGGATTTAGTTTGCTAATGTCAACTGAAATAATTGAAAGGATTAGAATCTAGCTAAAGAGTTTATGCAAACAAAAGGCTAGGAATGACCATTCCAAAATGCAGGCTTCAGAGAAATGGGGTTATTATACTGAAGTTAAAGGTTAAGTTCTTATTTATATAGGCAGAAAACAAAGAAATTTAGTAAGATTATAGCTTTTTTTATTTTTTTATTTTTTTTTTGAGACAGAGTCTTGCTCTGTCTTCTA